CTCACCTACTCACACACGCGCACACACACAGACACACGCCGTATCTATCTATCTATCTATCTATCTATCTATATATATATATATATATATATATATATATATATATATACTTAGTTGTATTGTTGTGAATTTGTAACCCTGGGTGTCACACCCTTGTGATTGTCAGGTTATAATTTATAGTAAAAATTAATCTGGATCAACATATTTCAAAATACATTTATTTTTATGCCTACATGTGAGCATCAGTTCATTTCTCTTGTTTAATAAATTAGCGTTATTTAAACGTTTTCAGATAAATAATTTTTCTACATTTTATGTGTTTTTTAACGTAATTTTCTTGATTTTAATTCTTCTGCCATTCATATGCCATGCTCGTTCAGGATATCGGCGGCCATGAATCTCCACAACTTCCTATTTTGTTGCCCATATCATACTTCTTTGAATCTTTAAGATAACTCCTTGTTCTTGATTTGTCATCTGTTCCCGCAAACACATTACGTCAGTTCCACCTGCTTTTTGGCTTGCTTCTTGTACATTCTGTATGTCCTATGAGTCTTAAATTCTCCATGCCAGCTTTCCTCATTCCGTGTCCCAGAGATTTCAGCTGTAGCTTTCTGACTTCTTTAAAACATCGTTATTCATTTATTCTGTCCATGTTATTCTGAGCGTTCGTCGATAGAACCATATATTTGTCAGTACATGTCTCTTCTTCATTTTGGAAGAAGATATATATATATATATATATATATATATATATATATATATATATATATATATATATGAAGTAATATAGTCTTAAGATGTGCTATATTTATGGGGTAAAGTGCTCAATATTAGAGATAGAGCGTGTGTAAATATAAATGTGAACATAGAAGTCAGCACTTAGAGGCGACAGTTTGTTTCATGCTAGACGCAATCGTCAGGCCACGAGTGCTGTAATTTTTCTCGGCTATTTATATATACGGGCCCGTGGTGCATTGTGGGTAGTTTATTTTGGCGGTTATTTTACCGGAAGTCGTTTATTTGTTTATTTATTTATTTGAGTTAAATTATTTTGCTTGTTTTTATTTATTTTTATTTTTTATTTTTACTTTTATTTCTTATCTTATATATTTGTTTTTTTTATTTTTATTTTAAACGGAGTTTTTATTAACGTAGTAAAAATTTGTTGATATCGCTTATTTAATACTTTTCTTTTGCTTTGGGAAGATAATTAAAGCTATTTATTCAATTTTGGGCTTGATTGTTGAAGTTTATTCTAACTATTATTTTGGCGGAAGCAGTTTTTAATTTGTTTATTTTCTTTGTTTTTTTTCTAACGGTTACTTTATCGAGAGCGGTTTGTTAGTTTATTTATTTATTTGGATGAATTCGGATTAATTTATTTTACTTGTTTTTTTTATTATTTATTTATTTTACTGTATATTTTTATTTACTCTTTTCGGTTTTCGATTTTTAAGTAACGTAGTATTTTTTCTTCTTTTATCTGTATATAACAGTTATAGCTATTTTTTGTTCCGCCAAAAACTGCAGAGAAAAATAACAGCACTCGTGGCCTGACGATTGCGTCTAGCATGAAAAAGACTGTCGCCTTTAAGTGTTGACTTCTATGTTCACCTTTATATATATATATATATATATATATATATATATATATATATATATAATATTCATTTTATTTAGATTTGTTATTTCTATATCTTATATTAAACGTAAGTGCAGATTACTGATTTTTTTAATTTATATAAAAATAAACGGCCCTAAAACCATAAAAAATCATTTAGAATTAAAAACCAATTATAAATGAAAAAAAATTGTATTTAATATGAACGGGGATTAAAAGTTTTATTTTATATTATAATCAACGAATGTCGCCCAATAGAAATCCAAAAATTAGAAAGACTAAGTGGAAAGTTATCTTCTGATAACTGTGTAAGAATGTTAGTTCCTTGTTATGGGGAAATTATCAGCGTACTAGACTTGCTGACCACCATTTTCATTCAAGGTTTATTTCTTATTCGTTTCTCTACCCCAAACCAAACTACGCCACCAAGCTGAACATTGGATAATATAATTATTAGGCTATTCGACAGGTAATATATTTCACCACTATGAATTAAGTGCCAAGGAACCAAGAAGGAACCATGTTTGACTGGTAAGAAACTGCGTCTAGCCTTTTGACAAAGATGGCTTATCATCTCTCGGTGTCGTCTCTGTCTTTGGGCAGAGTGCGCTCAGGAGCTTCTCTGTCAAAGGACAGACGGGCAACTGGGAAAATTATACTGAGAGGTGCCCAGACTTGGGGAACAGCTGCCCGAGGCCGCACCCTCCCATTGCACCAGAGGGAGGGATCAGTGCTCGTATCGAGACCAGCGCAACCGACCGTTGCTGGGTGTGTGGGCAATTTTTGTCCCTTGCCCGAGTGTACGCGCTCGGGTCCCCACTTTAAAAATACTTTGTGTCACATCTCGTCCTCGTGGGGGAACGAGTAAACATCGTGTCTAGTATTAGTTCATCATCTCGTCTATGTGGACGATAATTACGTATTACACTGCTATGAATTATGAGTCAAACAAGCAAAGCAGAACAAAATATCGTTTAATCATTTATCTCCATGGGCGATTATAATTTCAAAAATCAAATATATTTGTCATTGCGTACTCTATGCATTCAGAAAGACTAACCGTTCTACAGAAGTATTTAAAGCATATTTCTGTGTATACCGATGCAGTGAAGGGTCCTATATATCAGCTGTGGTGTAAGCGTTCTACAAATGGCTATTGTGATATATCTGACAATGCCCTAACATGACTACTGAATTGGATTCACGTCAAACATCAGAGATTTGACACAAAAAAGTAAACTATCCACGAATAATTCAAGCAATTTTTAAAACATTCAAAAGACACTTTTTAGGATCATAAATGACTTATCGCTTGAGAACTGCACACAACCTTTCATTATGAACAGGTATATGTTAACCAGGAATAATAAACTTTAATTTTTGCATCTCATTGTTATAGACGATGAAAAATGAGTTTTGTACGTCAACAGTCGTTATCAGAAAATGAAAAAAAAAAAAAAAAAAAAAAAAACAGTGCTAACACCAAAACTAGGTTTCCATTTCCAGAAATTGTTGCTTTGTTTCTGGTAGAATATGAAATAGTACGCTCCAGTGGAACATGGAAGGACCATCGATTTTTAATATTGCTTACCAAATTATAGATGCGTGTTATAGACTGTAGTACTAATTATGTATTTGTGAATATGGAATTCTTTAAATATGTGTATCTATAGCGATGAGAATTATTGCAGACTTTTTCATAGTTGACATTATTTAGTGTTGGCTTTTTATTTTTTATTATTGATTCTGTTTTTTTTTACGTGTGGATTTGGTTATTTTAGTTGTAATTTGTACAAGTTTCATTAAAGACCACTGACATTTTACAGTGATTATTCAGTTTTTTTTTTTTTTTTGGGGGGGGGTGCATTCATTCAATTATTTTCTTTTCGGGACATAACGTGTAAACAAAAACTGTCCAATTCTATTAGCCATTATCAAGGATTCTTTTTTTCATTATTCTTAACTCAATATGTACATTTTTACATATGTGTATCGATAGTGATGAGATCGTTTTTTTAATTTTCCAAAACTATGCAAATCTATAAATAATTATAGTGTTGCATTTTTTTTTATATTTATTTTTAATGCTTCAATTATTTTCAACCATTTTTACTTGTGGATGATGCAATTATACTTGTATTTCCCGCATGTATATTACTGGTAGGTCTTCGTGTGGGTTTATATGGATCCTAATGGAGCTATGGTCTAAGAAGATGTAATATGAGTCTTCTTGATAAACAAGTAGTTGTATGCCCAACGTAATTCTTCCTGAATTTGTTTTGATCAGGAACACAATTACTTAAAGAGCATGTAAATTCATGAATAATATTAGTCATTTGTCACTTGGTTCTTGCAGGTGAATGATGATGAAATTAGCATTTAATAAATGATTTAAGCAAACAAAGTAGAACCAAATCGGAAATGTAAACAACTAAATGCCTACCGAACTAGGTTATCGTCTTTTCTATCCGACAGTGTGTCACTTAAAGTGCCTTTTATTATTCTACTAGTACAAATTCCAAAGAAAGTATCTGTGTGACTCAGGAGTTTACACTTCAGAACCGGACGCAACCCAAGTGATGAAAAATGGGTTTTGCATGTCAACAGAAAACGAAGAGTAGAGTGGTTATTACAAAATGAGAAACCAGCGCCAACACCAAAAACAGATTCCATCCAAGATTCCATCCACAGAAACCCTTGATTTTTCTTCTGGTGGAATATGAAAAGTATCGTCCATTTCGAGTTGCTGGGACATTGAAAAGATGTTGTTGTTCTCTAGCCTGACAAGGGTAGACTCAGAGAAATAAGGCCAAGAATAATTCTCATCGTTATGAAGGGTGGTTCTTCTACATCATTCACGCTCGCCAGATTTGTTACCTCCAGATTTTCATTTGATTCGATAACTAAAAGATTTTATACGTGGAAAAACATTCAGAAACAAAGTTGAATACTGTTTGTCAAAAAAAAGGTCCAGACAAGCAAAAACGATAATTATCTCCCTTGTCAAAATATTTATATAATGCAAGTCTATACAATCAGCAATTATAATTATCTCCCTTGTCAGAATATTTATATAATGCAAGTCTATACAATCAGCAATTATAATTATCTCGCTTGTCAGAATATTTATATAATGCTAGTCTATACAATTAGCAATTATAATTATCTCCCTTGTCACAATATTTATATAATGAATGTCTATACAATCAGCAATTATAATTATCTCCCTTGTCAGAATATTTATATAAGGCAAGTCTATACAATCAGCAATTATAATTATCTCCCTTGTCAGAATATTTATATAATGCTAGTCTATACAATTAGCAATTATAATTATCTCCCTTGTCACAATATTTATATAATGAATGTCTATACA